ATGCGTTTGCCTATTTTCCATTCCTTCAGCTGGTTAATTACGGAGTGGATGCCTATTTTGTCAAATGCCTTGTTGAAATCAAGAGAGATCAATGTGACGTGCTTCTTGAGGGAAAGGGATCTTGTTGCTATGTGGTCTACTAAGAGTAGACTGTCTATAACAGATCTTCCCCTTCTAAATCCAATCTGATTGCTGTTGATTAGGTTGTTATTTAAAACAAACCACCACAGTCTCTTTGCGATAATCTTATCAAGTGTTTTGGCTAGGCTTGAATTTAGGGATATCGGGCGGTACGATTTAATGTCTGTTTTGGGTTTTTGGGGTTTTAAAATGGGAAGTACAAGGCTATGTTTGTAGGCTTGAGGGATTGAGGAATCTAGGATTGAGTTGAAATGGTTAAGGACTCTGTGTTTGAATGATATGGGGGAGTTGTTGATCATAATGTATGAGATTCGATCTAAGCCTGGAGTTTTGCCTTTCAAGGAGTTGAGTGCGCTGCTAAATTCAATGAACGAAATGTCTTTTTCTATTTCTAGTGCAGTTTTGGAGGGTTGGTAGTCTAATGTGTGGTTTAAGAGGAATTTATTAGTGCGAAAAGTTGGAGAAAAGTTACCGTCGTCGGCTTCTTTGGACCAGGCAAGTCCAAAAGAGTTAGCGATTTCACTTTGGGATGTTCTGGGGGTGGGGAAAGAAGGGTCGTTAATGCAGTGTATGTGCTTTGTGGGGTAAAGGCCGCAAAGGCGTCTGATGTTGGACCATGTTCTTGCTGGAGATGAGAAGAGACTAATATCGGATGTGAAATTAAAAATAGAGATTCGTTTGGCTTCTCTAATGGCTTTCTTTAGTTTAGCGTTGGCTCTTTTGTATTCTATTATATTATACGTAGTAATGTTACGTTTTAGTATTGACCATTTAGACGATTTGGCATTCTTCAAAACTGATAAGTTTTGATTCCACCACGGGACTGTTCTAGGGAATTGAAAAGTAGAGTTCTGGGGGATTGATTGGTGCGCGCTGTGGATAATAATTTTTCTTAACAAAGCTGCTTCTTTATTGACATTTTCGCTCGGTGGCTTGTCAGTAGAATTGATACGAAAAGATTTTTTGTATGCTTCCCAGTTTGCTTTCTTTAAGTTAAAGGAGGGTTTGGAGGTGTAGGATGAGGGGGAGGCATTAAGGTTCATTGAGATTAAGATAGGGAAGTGATCACTTCCGTAGAGGTCGTCTATTGTTTCCCAGAGAAATTCTGGGGCTATAGTGGATGAAGAAAAGGATAGGTCTATATGTGTGAAAGAGTTGTGAGTGGAGAAGTGGGTGGGGCTTTTGTCGTTTAATAAAATGTAATCTGAACGGTCTAGGAATTTGGCAATAATATTGCCTCTGGTATTAGGGCTAGGAGAGCCCCAGTAGGGGTGCCAACTATTAAAATCTCCGAGGACTAAAGTGGGTGTGTTGTCGAAGCAGAGGACGTTTTCTAGGTTACTTCTGTTAAAGGACTTAGTTGGTGAAATGTAGACTGATATTATGTTTAGTTTAAGTTTTGTATCTATTGAGACTCCAGTTGCTTCGAAGTCTTGGGTGATTGAGATTTGTCTTTGAGATATTGAGTTATGTATCAGTAGAGCTGCGCCCCCGTAAGAGTTGGTGCAGCATTGTTGGTAGAGTGTGTAGTTAATGGGAATGGGTAGAGAGTTAAAGTGTGTTATGTGTGTTTCTTGTAGGGCAAGAATTAGGGGGTTAAAGGTCTTGATCAGGGTTCGGAGTTCAATGTAGTTATTTCTATATCCATGGATGTTCCATTGAATGATTTAAGCATTAAATGTAAAGAGAAGGTGTATTACTTAGTACTAATTTGAGTGATTAATTAATAAAGTTCCTTGGCAGTGTTGTTTGGTTTACTTCGAGTGTTTTAGTTGGTTTGTATTTACTGTTTTCGATTTGTCTGCTTTGCTTTTAGCCTTTAGGGGTATAGCCAGAGGGTTGGTTTTTTCTTTGTTGTAGCTTCTGAGAGTGCGGTCTGAGGTTGTAGTGTTTGTACTGGTTCTGATAGATTCTGTTGTATCCATTTCGATGTCGTCCTCGCTTGGAGTTTGTGGGGTAGGTTCCATGATGTCGTCGTATGTCGTGATCTCACGAGTATTCGATTTATCCAGAACTGGGGCGATAGAATTTGATGGGGGTTGTGCTGCAACTTGGGAGTAAGGAGTGGCCTTGTGGAAGTGACGTTGGATGTATATTTTTGATGCGCTTTTGAAGTCAACATTTCTATTGTTTTTATAGCCATTATTTCTTTTGTTTAATAAATGTTGGGCACTTATTGTCCAATGGGCTATGATGAGGGTTGTCGAGGTGTTTGCAGTTGATGCAGAATTTAGGCTTGGTGCAGTCTTCGTCGTCGGGGGAGTGAACTTCAGAGCAGTTTGAGCAAGTTTTCTCGTTATTGCAGGCTTTGGTGGGGTGATTAAATTTTTGGCAGTTACGGCATTTAAGAGGTCGAGGAATGTGTGGTCGAATTTTGACACGTTCATATCCAATATTTATGGTTTCGGGTAAGGTGGTGGTGGCGAAGGTGAGAATGATGAGTCCGGTTTCTTCAAGATTGTTGTCTTTCTTTCTGAGTAGTTTATTTACTTCAGTGACGTTTTGCGTCTTGAGTTCATTGAGAATATCTTCATTGTTTATGTATCGGAGGTCATTGGAATAGATGACTCCTTTTGAAAAGTTAAGTGTTTTGTGTTCAGATGCTTCAACTTCAAAGTCGTGGAATTTGGTGAGTTTCATTAGCCATTGAGCTTGGAGTAGGTCTTTGGTTTTGACAAGAAGAGTACCTGCTTTGGTTTTTGAAACTGACGTTACTTCCCCGCAGCATGTATAGTCAATAACTTTTTTGATAATGAATGGACTAACTTTTTCAAAGGATGCGATGTTGTCTTTTCTTTTAATGACGATGAATTTGGGTGTTTGGAAAGGTGCTTTTTCTCGCGGTGTGGTTTGGTTTATGTCTGGTGGTCGTGTCATGGTTGTTGTTGTTGGGCTGCTGCCCGATGCACTTGCACTTTTGTAACTGTTCAGATGCAGTAATTGTTTTTGCTTTAGTTGGCGAGTTTGCTTTGAGGTCTTATTTGTTTTGACAAAATTGGTAGGTAATAGTTGCAGATTACACTTGCGTGGATTTGCCTATAGCACGTCTTTACTCTTCGGAGTCTAGATTGGTACTGTCATGAACCAAGTTAAATACACTTTATGTATAGTTTTAGATATATAATTTAAGTTCCTTGGATCACGTCTTGTCACTTCAAAATTATGCGGAAAAAGTGAGAGCTGAACCAGCTCATCGGAACCAAAACGATATTAGTGTTACCAGTAGTGAGCAGAATACTTTTACTTATACGATATTCTGATCGATATGAAGTAATGTCATATTCCAACACGTATAAACCGTCTCTTCCGTGCGATGTAAATATGGATACCGTAGTAAATGTAGTTGGAGCTACCCCTGGGGATATAGATTTACTCTTACAGACCGAGCAGATTAGGGATCCGGAAATTGTCAAACTCCATGATAAATTAGAAAGAGAAGCCGTTGGTTGTTTTGAACTTATTGATGGAATAATTTATAGAAAGATGATGCCGGAAGGTTATGTTTGTATGCTCCAACTCAAATACATGAACAGTTGATCAGGTTATGTCATGAAAAGTTGGGTCATCTTGGTGTTGATAAGTGTGTTGATGACCTGAAAGATAAGTATTGGTTTCCGTTGTTGAAAAGCAAAGTTGAATCCTTTATCCGCAATTGTTTGCCGTGTATCCTGCATTCAGTACCTAAAAGTGTCCATGACCGTACCCTTCATAGCATTCCGAAAGCCCCAATTCCGTTTGATACCGTTCACATTGACCATTTGGGTCCGTTGCCGTGCATCAATTCGAAAAGAAAACACCTTTTAGTTGATATCGATGCTTTTACCAAGTTCGTGAAATTGTACCCGGTTAATTCTACCAGTACCAAAGAAGTTAATTCCAGTCTTTTGAAATATTTTGAGTATTATAGCCGACCACGACGAATTATTTCGGATCGTGGTACTTGTTTTACATCATTTGAGTTTTCTAGTTTCCTAAGTGAGCGAAATATAGAGCACATTAAAGTTGCTAAATTATCCGAACCGTTGAATCAATCCGATTGGTACAAGTTGGTCAACAGAGTTGAATTTGCAATCAATAATTCCGTTCAGAAGAGTACCGGAAAGACCCCTAGTATTTTGCTTTTTGGTAGCAACCAACGGGGACCTATTGTAGACGAATTATCCGAGTATCTTGAGGAGAAGTTTAGCCTTTCTGACCCGCGTGATGTTACCTCCGAAAGGATAAAAGCTAGTGAAAATATTAAACGGTCACAAGAGCAAAATGAGTTTCGATATGCTTTGAAACATAAGGCACCCCCCCGTTATAAGGTTAACGATTTTGTAGCTATCCGAAATGTTGATGTTATTCCAGGATCTTGTAAGAAATTCTCGCCGAAATATCGTGGTCCTTATAAAATCAACCGTGTATTCCCGAATGATAGATATGAAGTCACCGACATAGAAGAATGCCAGCTCACCCAACTTCCTTACAAGGGCATTCTTGAAGCCGCCAGACTTAAACCTTGGGTGCCAACGTGTATGATAACCGTTAATTCTTATAGTTGACTATGTAGTTAGTAAATACGTAAAGATCGAGGTCGATCTAGAGTCAGGATTGGCCGAATGTAAGCTGTGTAATTCCAGTGCATAATGTTATTTAGTATATTTAGTGCAATCTAGTATTAATCGATTTAGTTTTAAGAGATATTGTAAATAATAATGAACGGGCACACTACTAATAAGCGACGGCGATCAAGAAGAACAAAAAGCGCAACCAAATTTAAAATTTTTAAATAAAAACCGATAAGTTTATAATTTATTATATTAGATAAATAAATTTTAATAAATATACATTGTTTATAAAAAAGAAATATATTTACCTTTTCTTTTCAAATTCACTATATATTTATCAATGCTTAGAGCCATAACCAACGTCCAATTAACGCTAATCTAGAATGCGTTTTAATTAGAAAATACATAATATATAATTTTTTACATTTTGCTTACCCAGCACCATCGATAGCGACTATAAACTATCGATGGTGGCCGAGAAAGTTAAACATTCGATACGTGGATAGTGCCATCTATAGTTTCCCAGCTCTAGTCTACATCTCGGCGGATGATGCAAGGTGAAAATAAAAGCTTTGTCGGGCGTCTTGAATTGTTAGTTTCTTATTTTTCGCCTTTGTAACCACTTTACGAGCTTTTGCTTTTAGGGTGGCATGTAAAATTGTACGAGTTCCAATATTAAGTAGATCTGCAAGCAAACACTTATAAATATGATAGACCTTAACAGAGTAGGAAAACTTACCGTCGTCAATTAAATCCTTTTTCAATTCGTTTAGCACTTTGAGGCTGTAATTTTCCTTTACTCTATCTCGTGCTAGCTTCAGAAACCTTGTACTTGTCAACGACCATTGAGTTTCCGAATTAACGATATCTGGATATTTCAGTGTACGTCTCTATTTATTTAATATCTGTCCGTATGAACGCTGAAATATCTGAAACTATAAAAGCTTGAAAGTTGGCTTTTGGCATGTATATTCTTAAGCTTCTTGCGCAGCGTAAGTTTATTTTAGCAGAGTGCCAAATACTATGTCTCCTGTACAGATAAAAGTCAAATAAAGCGTTCTGAAGTTGAAATTACACAGACCACAAAATTAAGCCTCGAATTGAAATTTCCACGAACCATTTCTAGTTTTCCAAGATATTTAAGTGCTACTGAGTAAAAGTCCCATACATACTTTTTTTACATCACCTACAGTTTCCGCTTAGAATACAAAAGTCTGATGTTTGCTGACAAATTATATTGCCCATTGGACATATCTTAAATACTTTCGCTGAAACACACTCTCAATACATGATGGCATCGCTAAAAAATAATCCCCATCTTAAACCGTGGTCCATGCCTTTGGAATTTGACGTAAGTTAAACTCCCAAAATGTTCACAATTTCTCTGATGAAAATCCGCCTGTAAAAATAAATTATAAATTAAATTAATTTTTATTTAGTATTTATTTGGTAACAGATAGGAGCAGTTGATTAAACCAAAAAACAGTTTTATTGATATAACAAATCCAATAAAATATCTTTATAAAATCGCGTTAAGCCCAAATTAAAGCATATAGTGGAAAGTAGATTCCAAGAACAACAAAAACTATTTCCATTTAAGATTTATTTTTAAGGGGCCAATTTCCATCAGAAAAGTTTTAAAAAATTAAGAAATTTCAGCGTTGACGTTAAATTCCAAATACATGGGTAATGGTTCAAGATGGACAGAGAGAAATATTCATGTAATTTGCACTCATATTGAGAATGTTTGTACTCAAAAATTCAGCATGAACAAACATTCTCACTTTGAGTGCAAAATAATCACTTTCAGTAAAAATTAAAAAAAAATTGTAGCCAAACTGAGTCCATTTGTGATGATATATGATATATGAGTATTTAACAGTTATTCGAGCTACAGATACTTCTGATCCGATTATTTCTTCGGTGAATTTGGATAGACGAATTCAGCGACAAAAAAGAATGAGTCATCCATTAGAGGTTTTGGACCTATTAGAATGCTCATCCAAAAAGACAACACGGCGCTCGAGGATGAAAGACCCTTTAATGTATTCGATTTAGAACATCAAGACAACGTTGAGTTGGAAAACGAAGAGCAGGATTTTTTCTAATAGGTGTGTAAGAAAAATGTATTTTGTATTACTATTTATTTATTTACTAACTGTGCTTTATTACAGGGCTGCAAGATGAATGCGCTTTATATTACTTTCCTTCTTAAAACCTTCTTAAGGCGAGCCACGCCCATTATTTGTTAATAAATAAACAAACAGTAATATGTTACTGTTGCTAAATAGTTTGTTACTTGTTGAAGTAGTACTCTTTAAATGTTGAGAAGTTTACATTACTCCCAAAAAAAATGGGCGGTGCCACACCCTCGATTTTTCTATTTCTAATATATATTAGCTAGCTTAACCGGATGCAAGAAACAGAAGCCAAATATCTTGTTCCGTTCTTGAGTTATTAATTTTGGCCAGAGAAAGGGTCAAATTTCACATAGTGCGATGGGGGAGATAAAACCAGGGGTACTTCTCAAGCATAGCCACCAAATTTTGCTGGATGTATCCTGTAGCCCGAAGATAACGCTTGCAACAAAGTTGAGTCTCTGATTATATAGTCTTTCTCAATTCCCATATTGTCGGCAGATATATAAGAATTATTGAAGAACTTTCTGCCTGTGTTGCCACCATTTGAAGTTCCACTTCCTATTAGACCCATTTTGGCCCTAAACTCATATTTGATACATTTTTTTCTTAATAAAATCTTTTCCTTAGCCTCTTGTAATCGAATTTGCCATTTTTCCTCGTCCAATCTGTACGATATGTGAATAAAACACTTAAAAAATCGAGGACGCGCATGAAGTGGTGAAAAGTCAAACTCAAATCGGTCCTCAAGAACCTCTTTTTATAAACAAATTTCTAGATAATTAATTTCTGTAGGCTATATATGCATATATAGCATTTTTTGGATGTTATATCACTTAATGCATTACAAACATTACCATCAGCCATGGTAAGTTGCAAAGAATATTCGATTTTAATTGTTCGATTTCGTATTGCAACCATGCTACAATTAAGCGGATCAATTTTGTTTTCGAAGTTCACCTCTTCGTCAGGGCAAAGCTGAGTCGTCTCCTTTTTAAAATGGGAACCGGGTTGGTCTGCCATGTCGGGTAGATGATTGCCGTGGATTCTTCCAGTCTAAGGGGCATATATGATGTAAAAAACATAGTGCTGTCAGTTAGGTCGCTATCCATCATCGTCTGTTTATATTCAGCACGACTCGTGCTACCATCAAATCCCCATTTTCAGAAAAAAATCAGATGATCAACATTGATATCGTTGATATGAGAATTTTTTATTATTTCGACATTCACTTTGCGATCCTTTCTATGGCAACTATTTGATATAGTAATCCGACTTTAATCAAATTTAATTCGTAATTATGAAATATTAAAAAAATCTATATACCGGAGAAGAGAATATGATCAAAATTAACAAAGCCATAATTATCCGACTCTCCTGAGGTTATCTAATCCTAGTCTTCAAATGTAGAATGCAAACCTTCTTCCAAAGAGTCTGGTTTTTCTGCACGGTCAAAGCTTATTTCGCTGGGTCTCCCCTACATTACCCCTTTAAAAACACAACTGGAATTACCTTTACAGCAAAATTAAGTATCATTATTTCTCTATGTAAGTACATCGAATTGATGCAGATGACGGGCAACAAGATCCGGACCTCGGAGCTGGTGGAGGATCATCGGAAGAAGCGGCGACGGGCGGATCGCTGCGATGACGACCGTAATCCTTTCATTTAACGGCGTACCCTGCCAACGCGGTTCAAGTTTATGACGCGGTGGCGTCTTTGATTAAACACGGCTAGGACCATAAACCCTAGTATGGTTAGGAACAGGACTATGATGCTCCAGTGACTCCACGCAAAGCTTCCCATCCATTGGAGCGGTAAGCCTTCGACTATCATTTCCGTTGCAATATGCGTGTGTGATTCAATAAACTTTAAAGTTCAACTTCTGAATGAGATTCGCTGACAATTATGTTATTCATATTTCATATTTATGTACCGTCCAATTTGAGAGCTGTTTTTAAACAGTTGTACATATTAGATGATCATGTTTATATAATAAATTTGTACTGTTTTGTCAAATGCTTTATCGTGTTAGAGTGAAGTCATTCAAAACCGAAGTATTTGTGTATTCATTCAGTTTTACAAAAATTAAAAAAAAACAAGGAAGAACGGTATAGTCGAGTACCTCGACTATCAGATACCCGTTACTCAGCTAAATAGAGATATGCAAGTAGCAAAGCGAGATTAAAATACGCCACCTACCGGCGGTATACAGATTTAAGCGTTATGGGCGTTAGAGTGGGCGTGGCATTCCGAAAGCCCCAATTCCGTTTGATACCGTTCACATTGACCATTTGGGTCCGTTGCCGTGCATCAATTCGAAAAGAAAACACCTTTTAGTTGCTATCGATGCTTTTACCAAGTTCGTGAAATTGTACCCGGTTAATTCTACCAGTACCAAAGAAGTTAATTCCAGTCTTTTGAAATATTTTGAGTATTATAGCCGACCACGACGAATTATTTCGGATCGTGGTACTTGTTTTACATCATTTGAGTTTTCTAGTTTCCTAAGTGAGCGAAATATAGAGCACATTCAAGTGGAACGCATAAACCGAGTGTTAACCCCGATGTTAGGTAAATTATCTGAACCGTTGAATCAATCCGATTGGTACAAGTTGGTCAACCGAGTTGAATTTGCAATCAATAATTCCGTTCAGAAGAGTACCGGAAAGACTCCTAGTATTTTGCTTTTGGTAGCAACCAACGGGAACCTATTGTAGACGAATTATCCGAGTATCTTGAGGAGAAGTTTAGCCTTTCTAACCCGCGTGATGTTACATCCGAAAGGATAAAAGCTAGTGAAAATATTAAACGGTCACAAGAGCAAAATGAGTTTCGATATGCTTTGAAACATAAGGCACCCCCCCCGTTATAAGGTTAACGATTTTGTAGCTATCCGAAATGTTGATGTTACTCCAGGATCTTGTAAGAAATTCTCGCCGAAATATCGTGGTCCTTATAAAATCAACCGTGTATTCCCGAATGATAGATATGAAGTCACCGACATAGAAGAATGCCAGCTCACCCAACTTCCTTACAAGGGCATTCTTGAAGCCGCCAGACTTAAACCTTGGGTGCCAACGTGTATGATAACCGTTAATTCTTATAGTTGACTATGTAGTTAGTAAATATGTAAAGATCGAGGTCGATCTAGAGTCAGGATTGGCCGATGTCCGTCAAATTAGCGTCGGTGACTTAGCGGCGCTGGCGGAACGGTGGAATCTGGAACATGGGGCTAATTTTTATTTTTTGTTTTTCTCGGCTTTTTGGGGCCGAATCGAAAAATATTAAATGCAGAATTGTTTAGAATAAAAATATCTATCGATCTAGATAGTTTGCAAACATATCCGACTTCTAGAAATTTATTAAAAATCTATTTAAAAAATCGGGTCCCCACAATTTCGTCTATTGCTCCCCTCACAGAGGTTGTACCAATATGCACGGTAAACCTGGTTATTGGGCGTTAATTCAAGTTTCTTGTCAGAAAGTATCATTAAGCGAAAGCCGTCAGTTTTTGAGAAAATAGCTTAACAGTGAAGGCACCTCGGATTTTCCCCATACAAAAAAGGGGGGCAAATAGTAAATTGCACAGGGCTCCACTCTGAGACGTTGTACCAACATGCACGGTATATTGGCAGATTGGGGATCGCCTAAAGCAAGTTCAGTGCAAAAATCATAACGATAAAGCCGTCAGTTTTTGAGAAAATCGCTTTACAGTGGGGGAAGATAAATAATTAAAAGAAGTGGTGCCAGATTAAAATTTGAACCAGTAAGTTCCAAGACATGAACCACTATGTAAAAAATGTATTCAGGACACTACCATATGGCAAAAAATTATGTTTCGACGCTACCTCTATTTTCAATTAATTTGACTTTCACAGACGTTGTACCAACATGCACGGTACCACGTTGGAAAGGAAATTCATTTTACTAATTAACAAATGCGGTTCGGCAAACGAAAAGCCGTCAGTTTTTGAGAAAAAAGCATAATGCGTGGTTTGCATCTCATTTGTAACAAAATTGTTCACCCTGTTCTAAGCTCCCAAGACACTAACCATATGGGAAAAAAATAATGTTTCGACGCTATCTCTATTTTCAATTAATTTGACTTTCACAGACGTTGTACCAACATGCACGGTACCACGTTGGAAA